CTTATTTTGTTGCGTATGGAACGAGCGTTAATCAGACAGGTTGAATAATTGGATAAATAGTAGTACCTAAACCTGCTTTCGGAAAGCATTTTCTCGCGGGTTAGGTGGAACTGTAGTGGTGAAGGATATGGGGTAGAATTTAATTTCGAGGACATAATAGGGGAATAAGATACTACTGGGCTACTACTAATATCATCCTTTGTTGTGTTGGGTGTTGACCCACTGTATATGGGCCGGGAGAGTGACAAGTTGGCGTAACATCTTCCCGATCACTGTAGCGGTTGTGAGTTGGGGTTGAGAGTAGCTGGTTTGACGGCGTCATCATCTGAACAGCAAAAGGCGCTAATGATTTTTGAGGCCCGGGAAAATTTGGGTTTTCAGAATGAGCCCTGGGTATGGGTGTCTATGGAAATGAGCCAAGTAAATCTGTGGTTTCACTTCTGTATGGGGAGGGGTAGGGTGCAGTATTTTGGGGAGCCAGTATCACAGGCTGCATCTGAACAGCAGGTCTCCAACTGGGAGGTGATATCGTTGTACTGGGGCGGGCACACATTGGATTCGAATGTTGTGTAGACGGGTGTGAGGAGAAAAACCTGCCGCTTCCCCCGTAACCCTTGTCTTCATGACTATAGAAGGCATTTGTGTTATGAACATTCTTACGCCGTGGATGTGCCTGCGTAAGGAAACGGGGTCACTCTTCGAATTGCGTTATAACCATTAGGTTTAACAGTCTGAATATAATTACTTCGGGGCTGGCTAAAACATTTATGTGCCATTGGTTTTGGCGGTACACTCGAACTAGGACTTTTAGGTTTAGATTTTCGAAACACGGCACTTTGTGACTGTGCATTGTCAATACACGCAGAGGTCAACATGGTATTTGAAGGCGGTAAGGGCTTAACAGCTTAAGTGCACCTAGGGGATGCAGGTTTTGTCGATAAACTCAGGGGAATCAGGAACACACCGGACTTACCATTACCGTTGCCATCCATATCAACATCATCTGGGAATAAATCTGCATAACTGGCGGAGATTTGACCTTCAGTTTCGGTGTTTACTATCATGTCGGATGGTGAAACAGTAGCAACTGATGTACTTGCAACAGTATACTGGGTCAGCCTTTTTTGATCTACACTTACAAAGTCATCTGGTGTGAGGAGCTGACTCCCAGGCGCCAGCAAGCTTCGGGTGGCCATTGGTTTTGATGGAGTTTCCAGAGGGAATTCGTAAGGTTTCGAGACACGTGTCCGTCTTTGACATGGTGTAAGATCTGGAAGTACCCTAACATTCTCACAGCTTCTTAAGAGTCTTACACATTTCTGTAAACCACGAAAGTGTCTCACATCAAGGAGTGAGCTAAACTGGAATAATATTGGACAGGGGTACTTACTAGTCCTCTTCCTAAGACGCCGAACTGTGCAACCGGATTCATGCAAACCACAGCCTCTGAGGAGATCATTTTTAACACGTCTTAATGGAAAACTATCAGGGACATTGAGGACAATGGAGTTGTGTGACGAAGTCAGTCGTTTGCTGGCATCAGTGGCCACAACGTTCACCAATGTTTCACACTTGATAGGGTTATCCACTGATAAGTCCGTTGTAGGGTTGAGTAGGCAAATCAGAGGTGTAAGACAGTCTAGTTTGCGCTGAAGATCAGCAATTGCATTACTGTTTTCAACAATATTACGCTTGTTCGCAATAACACCATTATATACGACAGCCATGACGTCAGACAGATCGACGGGAGGACCAATAATAAGTAGGCCATTTTCAGACCCTAGTGATTGGTTCGGAACTTTTGATCCCTTAGCTTTATGGACTGTTTTTTTACGACAGCAATGGCGTTACTCATGTTAAGGCTACAAGGCACAGGCATAAAGAAGTAAAAATTTATTGTCTGACAATAAAATAGCAAGATTAGAGACTTATCTGCAACAAGAATTAAGGTTACTGGTTGCCTGTCAATCTCGGCTTTTTCAGTAAACTGGTAGATAAAGCAGCAAGATGCTACAAATTCCCGTCAAATAGAGAAGAACACTGAAGTCCAGACCAAAGTTCACGTATTGACGAAAACCAGAGATATGCAACCAATAGTTGCGGAGAAAGTGACAGCAACAGTTAGTGGATAACGGATATGTTTAGAAGCTTGAATTTGCAGGCGAAAAATGGGGAAAGCTTACGCGGTGGGGAAACAGTCGAGTTATTGAATTCATGATTTGACTCGCAACTCGACTATGATCGTCCACAGTTACTGATGAATACAAATATTCACATACTCGACGACTAGGGCACACTAATACAAAATGTTGAAATCTAACCAGGTTTTCAAAGAACTATCTACTCTCAGGTCAGGCAGGTCTTTAGGTTGTGGTGGGTTAGGGGGGCGGCGATACTGAAAAACGGCGGCGAACAACAAGGTCCATCCCCATACGACCGGTGCACAAATTCACTAAAGAAGAATGAACTACCGTAAGACTAGAAGGCAGCCATCTAACCCTCACTACTTTAAAGAAATGACACTAATATACTACCAAATACACACCCTCCTGGGTTCAGGTAACGTTGGCAACTGATGGTATTTTGGGGTTCCTCAATATGAATACCACCATCATTCACAGCCGACATGGCTTCAGGGAAAAAAGGCTTCGTATCGACAATCTACTAACCGTCTGAGAGGGCTGGATAGCTAACTACAACAATAACCGGGGAGTACACTTTTTCATCGCCTCGGGAAAGCCTCCGGTAACGCCCCAGGCAACACTTCGTTGCCAATAACTTAAGAAGTGGGAGTCCGTGAACCGCTAATATCTTGCTTCATGGCCTACTTAGAGGGCAGTAAATTCTACACCAGGGTCAAAACAACCCAGTTTCAATGGAGGACTTCCGTATTCAGCAAGTCTCGGCGAGCGATTTTCGATCAAGGATTAAGATTAGTCTCGGCTTCGCCCGCCAATTTAGAAACCGGCGTGAGCCAGGTGCAAATGGTTGTGGCGCCTAAATCTGTCACACACTCTACCTCGAAGCACTTTGAAGCTCCCATTCCTGAACTTATCTCCGTAGTCTTCAAAATCTTCATTAGGCCGACGATGAACACAGTAGCCCCTTCGATGTTCTGGGGCTAAAGGGCAACCCTCATTCTGGGCGACTCTGACGACTTGATCAGTTCACCCCAACTGCTTTACTGAATAAGGAAACCTAGTGGCAGCACAAAGGATTGTTCACCGAGCAAACCACCCTCAGAAGAAGTTAGTATCAAACCAGAAAAGTGTCGCTTGGGAACCCAGTAAAGTTGCTAGTCGAGGACCTTGTAGCGGCCAGAATCCAATAATCTTGGCCTGAACGCGGGAAATAACTAGGCGGTGCCAACTGACGTGAATCTGACTAGTTCCTGCGTTCTACTGTATAGCTTCCTAACTTCCGCGAGTGACGCACAGTCAAAGGTTGGATCAAAATATCAAAACACGGTTTGTAGTAATTCAATAATAGATTCGTAACAAAATCTGTGGTACTATCAAAGTAACAATAAGTTATGTCAAACTACAAAAATACCTCAACAGTGACGTTGGGTAACTATACAGTCCAAAACGTTCTCGGGTACAAATACGTACTACACGGTAAAAACTGGTTAAAAAAATACAACTGTTAAATACCTGTCGGTCAATAGGAATATTCCCGGCAAAAGGGATCAAAACTCTGCCTACAGGAATCAAATCAACAAACAAACGTTCCCAGTAGACAGTCAAAAGACAAACAGTCAAATCACTGCACAACCGTAAGTTGAACCAAAACAAAATGTTGTGCGCAGTAAAACAACATCACCTTGTCAACAGTCCAGCGTCACATAATAGGAAAGTGAAACATTCATAATAAGTCTCAAACACACAAAGGCAAATACCGAGTGTAAAGTCAAATAAGACAGTTAAACAAGCAAATAACATTACACCGGCGAGGGTCAAAGGTAAACCATCCATAACGAGGGTAAAAATGTTAAAATAAATGTCAATGCAATCAAATAAAGGTGATCGGGAGGGATTTTCAGATCATTTTTCCGTTACAGACCTAACGCCAGGATCAAAGCTAACTTCCTTTCACCAAGACGATATGCTATTTAGAATGCCTTTTCGGGGAAATATTAATGATTCCTTCATTGATGTCATTCAAAATACTGTCAGAGCGGCACATCGGTACACACTGGTTTACACTAACCAATGCAATGAATCTATAACCCTACTGTCCCACCATAAAACTTGTGGATTACCACCCGTCGACTTTCGCAGTCTTGACTTTCCGGTGACGCACAATATTGCTATTAAAAGTCCCCTATTTCCTCTATTCCCCTTCACATATAAAACCTTCTTCTTTCATTTACCCTCTAGGTTCTGCTAACTTGCATGAATCTGGACTCCCTTTCAGACAGAAGTCGCAAAAATGAGTCAATCTTCCCACCAGTCCCATAGTTTCAATTCAAATCCAGTTTACATGCAACAAAGAGAAGAAGACTTTGAACAATCACATCCCCGAGAGCCAAACACTGGAGCTCAGAGAGGATTTATGCGCTAACCGGATTAGTGAAACCAGATGAAATGAACTTAACCTTATGACCCAGGTGCAAGAGTTCAAAGGCTGTCAGCTTGCTTTGCTTGCCCAAAAGATGTTGAACACTGGATGTTACACGATGACTTATAGACTAGCAGATCTCATTCATCCACCCAGCAATCAACTGCTCTCCGGGAAACATTTCATCAGAAGTCAATAAACTGTAGTCGGATGGTGTACTTCAGGAACTTTGTTTCCTGGACATAGTCAGCTGGACTCTCTGTTAGAGCAAAAAGTGCCTTCATTTTCTGTCGATAGGCTAAGTAGAAACTGTGTTGTTGTATAGACACCAGCTTCAAATATTATTTTATGTCAGTGGCTTATTATTTTTACACCTGAAACTGAATGTAGAAATTACTTTGTAAGAATCAATATGGTTTGCTGAAGGACCTTGAAAAAAAGCCCTAATTTGAATGTTTGCGGCAGATGGTTTGTTTTCTGGCTTTGTTGTTAGTTTGTTGAGACAGGGCACTTAGGAAGTTGTGAAGATCATCAGAGGATTAGCTTGAGTTGATCTGGAGTTATGATCTCGAACTTCAGATAATGAACTGTGGAAATTTTCTTAATTTGCTGGTTACTATTTCTTTGTGCAATACTGTGATGAATGAGCTATGTTACAATCAAGACTCTTGTGACATACCCGTGGCAGAATATGTCGTCAGAGTTGATGGAACCTTTTCGGATGCTAAAGCAGTTGCTCGTCTGCATGGTTTGGAATTAATTGATGAAGTAGTTTGCATTAATTAATCATTTTGGCACTCAGATGATCGGTTTCAAAGGAATTTACATAATGCACAAGAGCAAAAGCTCATTTCGAAAACGCAGACGCCGTTCTACAACTTCCATCACTGGCCCAGGGGTAGGACTGCTTTCGGGCTTACACTTTTAGGTCAAGTGGTCTGTAAGACAAGATTTTCTCATACGCACCAAACGTTCTAGTCTACCATCTGTTTCTTGGAATGATCCATTGTATCCTGATATGTGGTATTTGGTGAGTGATATCTGATTATTTTACTGTATTTATCCGAGTACATCCTGTCTTTCGGGGCTGTTTGCATGTGGTCCTTTTCAGTATTTGAACCACACTCAATAAATATGGATTCATAATGTTTTGTTGTAGTTTACCAATGGTTTGAAATTATTTCCGACTTTCTAAACGTTCAGACTTGTTCAAGTGACCTGTTGGGTTTCTTGAATGTGGTACTTACTGACGTTTCAATTCACTCATAACAATTGTTTTCATATGTCCATAACATTCATTATGCCATTAGAGTCGATAAGCAGCTTTTTAGGAATGACATCCGCCTGTTTTTTCGTTAGATGTTTGTGCCGATGCTAGGGTTCTTGTTTACTGTCACTGTTAAAACTGTTATGTTACCAGTCTTTATAGCAATACTTAATTTTTCACTCAATGCAGCCTTCAAGCAGCAAATTTCTCTGATTGACTTAGAGGCAAAGTTGTGGAAGCATTGTGTATGGTCAACTAGGATTTCCTTGATAGATGCAGTCAATAACTCATCACTTTCGCCTGTAATCGATCTCGTTATATTTTTGCTTCAGTACTGTCTTCTAAATATATCCATATTTTGGTATCAGATGCAAGGATCTAACTTTCGGCTTTCCTTATGAAAGCAGTCATGAGATTTTGTAGTAATTCTTATGAACAGTTTATCTGAATGAGCCGAATTTTCGCATCATACTCTGTCGAAATAAATTCATTTGACTTCGACTCAGCTGGCATTGACATAACTGATTTGGTAGTGCTTTGACCCAGAACCGTCACTGAGTGAAGGGTGGTTTAAAACTTTAAGTCTTATGAGGTTTCCCACCTCTCACAACAATGTTTTAAAGCATCGAAGTATATTTTGTTAGGCCATCGCATATCATATCAATACGATAAGTGGTGATAACATAAACTAGTCGCACTTGATATTCTTGCTAAAATCCTGTTGATCCTGAATTCAAATTTCACTCCACCCACATCTGCCTGTGCAATAGGGTAGTATCATAGCCAATACGTGCATTATAACTTCATATACAAACGTCCATTGGGTTGGGTCGCACTATAGTATTCAGCAAAAGCCTTAGATAAGTTTTATGAGCTACGCAAAGTATTCGACTGTCAAACTTAAAATTATTGCACTTCATTGATAGTTGCTTAAAAAAATTACCACTTAAGCTGCACCATCAAGGAGTAGGTTCTCTGACTGGAGCAACATTTATAATGATACAATCTAGAGACCAGAATACTACTTCAATCAATCAATCATTATCAACATAGGACCAGGCGTTACTGCGTAACGGTCCGAGTTGCTACACCTCACGTCAGTTCACCAAGTAGAAAGGTAGTGAGGTGAAGGATGAAGATAAGAGAATGCAGTCAAAAGAAATATAAAGTACGAGAAGAAAGAAAAAAGGAATGACAAAATAGTGGGATTCGGTATAGCGTCGTTAAGGTGAGGATAATGTGTGTATACATCTGCGCCACTGACATCGGTTCTAAGCCATATCCCGTAGAGTCTCCAACCACTGGTTCCTCTTGTTCCGCGGACCCTAACCACCCAGTCTGCATCGTCCTACATGGCTTAAACCAACAGTCAGAGACTTCATACATTGGTGCCATGTTTTAGTCTGGCCACCTCGGGCCTTTTTCCAGCCTGGACCCACCTCAGCCAACATTGTGTGACGAGGCAATCAGTGGCTAGGTATACGTAGTACGTGTCCCAACCATCTCAGTCGATGAAGGTTCATAACCTCGTCAACTGACTTACCTCTTCTCCCTAGAACTCTACACCTGACTTCTGCATCACTCACTTGGTGACACCACGGAATACGTCCTATACTACGAAGACAACGGTGGTCAAACACCTGAAGCCTTTAGAATACTACTTACTAATTAATTGTTAATTACACTATTAGTGAATTTGTCCTGACGTTTAGTCAAATATTTCAGTTGAATTTATTTATTTTTAATAGTTCACACTACACTAATTGATGGCAAACTAGGTACTTATTGAAAAATATTTGTATATTTACTGTCAAATCATTGTAATTATCTAAGAAAAGATTCCATTTTTCCCCATCATTTATTTTCTACATTATCAGAGTCTTCAGAAGATATTTAATAAATACTAATATTCAGTAGCAAGGAGGAAACTGAAACCAGTACACCTTTTTAGTGGTTCGCACATGATTTTGAGTCAGACTCAATAAAATATGAAACAACACCGTTAACCTACCATTGAAACGAAAAGTAGAGGAGAGTCGAACCTTTTAGTCAATTAGGAAGACTTTATTCACTATTATTTTCAAACCACTATGTCGAACTATGTCGTAATAGTACCAAAATGGTTATATATGACCAATGAAATGTGTTTTTTGAAAACACATGGCTTATTTCTATCACAGGGGCATAACTTATCACATTTAAATTTGAAATTCGTTTTCCAGCCCATTCACATCCTGATCCATTCAATTTTTGTGACTACTATCAATAAGAAGGTTTTCTGATTGTATGCTTTTTAACTTGTTTTTTATACGAACAGAAGTAGTGAAAACTGAAAAACAGTTTTTCCTCGTATAGTTACTTTCAGAGCTGTAGTTGATTGGGCTGGTACTCGATTTTCAGCATGTTTCAATGTTGATCCACTCATCAAGGTTTAAGCCGGTAGTATCATTAACTTGACTTGAAATAGTCTTACAAAGAATCAGTACATTGACTACCTGTATGTAAACATTCGAATTCTAGCCGAAACATGTTGAATGGTCCTCATTGAAATTTAGCCTAAGTAAGAATTATCTGAATGTGTTTACAAGTTCAACTGTTCAGGAAGTTGCACTGGTCCTAATGGACCTGTATTTGACTTAATTTCTGCAGGAATACAAAAGTGAACTACTATTTTCCACTCTACTAGATCTTTTTAATCGGAAAAATATCCGGATGTTTACTACACGATTAGTTTGGTTCACGCTAACACACATTAAAAGTAGACCAATTCATCACATTGCATAGGTATCTTCAAAGAATTATTTGCATCCCATATTAGATTATTTTACTGCATATAGCTAGCTGTAATAAATTATTAACTAACGGATGATTTTCTGAGCGCAATTCATGGCTCACATTCATCCCAAGATAGTGGTACGTAGATGCTTTATTTGATGTGGGAAAACCGGAACCTATTTGTAGCTTTTTGTCACATAAACTCATTGCTAAATGCATGATAGTAGTTCAGATCGCAATATCTTCAGGAAACTGTCATACTCTGACAAGTTTCCATAAGTCTTTACACAGCTGCATGAGTTCGAGCTATGGCCTTTCATTAACAATACATACTTACTCGGTACTCATTTTACAGTCAAACACTCCCACAACAATGAATGTTTACACAGAATGATGTTTAATTTTGGCTGCCTATAAGTATGGATGTGTTCGATAACCTTACTAAGGATGAAGATCTAATTGAGTCACTTCGTCCAGTTCTGAAACTCACTTAGTTTTCCCGAGTTTAATGTTCTCAAGGTCCAGTTAGGTGCTAAATAACCGTACACTCAAGGATATTTAACACTGTTTGTTAAGGTGGTTCATCTATGGTGGTGAAAAGAAGACTTCCCTACCTTCTTATAAACTATAATAGGCAGTTAGGTAGACTACTCTGACGAGAATACTATCATTGTGAAGAATGCGACCATTATAACCTTTCGGGGTAGGTGGATAAAAAGTTGGGCGGAACACTGAAGCACAGTTCAACTTATCAACAGCAATTTACAAGCATCCACCCCGAACCTGAATGGATCAAACTAGCCGATTAGGATCAGTTGGAATAATGCAGCACAAATGTCTAACAAAATATAGATTGATTTTTTAAAATTTTATTTCCCTGAAAACACTCGGAACAAACTTCTGTGCGAAGTATTAGGATTTCTTATTTCAAACACGCTAAGATTTATTCAAGTATAACATATATATATATATATATATATATATATATATATATATATATATATATATATATATATATATATATATATATTGGTAAACCCGTATAGCATAAGTAGCCTAGACAGAAGCTTAGTCTTTGCTAAGCATGCACCAACCGATTGTCACACTACAGCGTGACAGTTCTGAGGTTCATTGTAACCAGAGGGAGTTTAGGGGCAATTTACCATTCCGTCCATCAAATCAGCGTTTGGCACGTAAGTGAACTAACTGTCCATTTACTACAGGTGCTTGTGGAATTAAAATATCTAAAAATAGAAGAATAAGGTGCCGTTGGACAAGAAATGGAAGTTTGAAAGTTGTGGTTACTTTGATTATGAATAGTAGTAAGTCGTGTTGTAAGTTCTAAATATTTCAGTATTTCATACTTTCTTGTTTGTCAACATTTCTTTCAGTTCGCTTAAGTTCTTTTTCTCTCATTATGATTCTTCGAAGTTTCTCAGGCAAGAAGGCGTTGTACTTGACCAGTTACCCACATGTTAACACCTGATATTAACCATCATTATGATCATTCTATGAAGTTTACCTTGTTTGTAACTATTGTATCGATTTTTAGTTTTTTCCATCTCCAATATAAGTTATTACAATGACTTTTGTTCAATATGCTTGCTTATTTCTTTTAGAACAGAGCCAGTAAAGGAGAGGGTTACGATATGAATGTATTGGAGGCGTGGGATTTAGGTTATACTGGTAAAGGAATCAAGATCACTATCATGGATGACGGAATAGATTATACACATCCTGATCTACTGTTAACATATGTAAGTTTTACTTCTGTCTTTATTTCGTTGCACAAGTTGTCATTATGGTTTATTACGTCTTAACAATTCATGTTAATGTTTATTTGGATAATTTTAGTTAGTTTATTTTTAACGTGTGAGCTTTTCGAATGGATGAACCTGTCTAACTGTGGTTCATTTGTCTAGGCATTTGACTTCCAGCCGATGAGTCACATGTTGGAGACCAGCTCCACCCACCAAGGTCTGGACAAACAAGTAATATCGTTAGCCATCACCCAATAGATGTGACTCATTGCCTACTACACGAGTGTGCATGTGATTTCTGGGTATATTTCAACTTTTCTTCGACTGAGTCCGAGTGTAAAGCCAATAAACTTGTCCAATTCCACTCAGCTGACAAGTTTCAAATAGGGAGAAATATGCATGTATCCTTGAACTATCATAAAATACTACCATAATTATCACTTGGGATACTGTACCAGAGCTATCAGTCCATGTAGAAAAATTTCACCTTAAACATGGGCTTTGTAAACTTCAGGATCAAAATTTGACCTAATAGAGTTGAATAAGATGAGCATTGGGTATTTGGATTATAAATGAAATATATTTTGTAAGATCCCAATGAAGTAGAAAAATAAATTTCTGACGTTTTGTGACTTCGTGGAAGTCACTTCTTCAAAGAATAAAGCCTGCACAAGTTATCGAATAGTTTTACTATTTAAACTATTCGATAACTTGTGCAGGTTTTATTCTCTGAAGAAGTGACTTCCACGAAGTCACAAAACGTCAGAAATTTATTTTTCTACTTCACTGGGATTTTACAAAATATATTTCATTTATATTAAACATGGGCTGTTTTTCATATTCTTTTTTTAGTATGAGTCTTACAAGTCTCAGCATATAATTACTAGACATTAGATGTGTTCAGAAAAGAAACTATGAATCTATATTTTATTGTCATTTGTTCCCATAAGTAAGACTAAGCTGTTAGCCAGAGGAAGCTTTTACTTCTCCGTTACTTTCGAATTTGTGTATTTTAAGGACAAAAGGAATGTCTTTACTGGTGTATAACTCTCAGAATTCAACAAACGTTTCATTAGAATGTAATCAGTATGCGTACTAGTTACTAGAATTGATTATGATTTGTTAGTTAGCTAGTTAATAAACGATCTATCAGCCTAATTGGAGGAAGAGATAGAACAGATTTACTGCCCAGCATCCATCTTGTCACATAGGTATAGGCCGAGGGGGCAAGATGACCATTATCAGTAATAGAAAGGGATACGAAGGCGGAATGCAAATGAAGTGAAATGAGCAATAAGAAGCTATCGAAGAACAAGGAGTGAATGCGTGTATAACACTGAGAAAAATTACGGTCAGATTGCCTGAATTCGTCAATCCTCAGTTTTAGCTGTCGTGTCAACCCCTAGCCTAGTTTGTCAGTGGATAATTCGAGATGACATTACAAACTGCAGTAATACTAACTTCAAGGAGTATGTTATAGTTACTTTCAAGATTGCACGTACGCTTCATGGACTGGTCCTAATACGAGATATCATATGATAAGAATAAAGTTGTTGAACAGTTGTTAGGTGATCAGTCTATATGGCTTATCGGAGGTGCGGATTTGAGTTTGACTCTCTCTCTCTCTCTCTGTTAATTTACCAGTTTGCTTTTAAGGATTATGCATTCAGTTACGTGAACTACAATCCCTTATATTTCTTACAAGCATTGTTTTCATGAGTAATCATTGATTTTGCTCATCTCTGACTGCAGCTTTGAGTCGAATGGGTTCGAATTTCTCAAGGGACATCAGTCCCATTGACAATGCATATGCGCCTTGTTGATGAGCGCCAATAAGCTTGAAACCCAATTCGAGCAGGGCTTCCTTCTAATTGCCTCTCTAACCATCTGGTATCAAGATTTAATCTCTACCTTTTAAATTTGTCTCCCAACATTAAACTAATATCAAAATCTAAATGAATGAAGCATTTTCTTGATCACTAAAACTTTATAGCTATTCGTTAACACTTTCTATACATAAACGGTTCAAGTAAACTTTATTGACGGCGAATCACGTTCAAATATACACTGACCAATCACAATCGAGATTATAAAGGACAAAGTATTTATTAGGGAAAATGATATTTTATTTACAATTTATAGATCCGTTTCACATGAGAAATAAAAATATATCGATTTTCAACATGTTTATTATCTTTGAAACCACGTCAGTGTCTATATCGCCACTCATCCATATCCCCTCGTGGTCGTATTAAGTTTCTTAGAAACTTTTTGAGACGACTTCACATATTTTCAAAATTGTTTGTGTGCGCTCCACTTATGCAATCAACGAACCGCTTCTTTTGAACAATAACTTGATGGGAGAATACATAATAAATAAATGCATATATGACTTCCAAGCGTCATTGTATATTGTTGTACTCGATGTCACCTGTTTTTCTTCTGATTTATTCTTTATCCACTGAAAGTATTTCTGTCGTATTCACCGAGAATCTGTGACTTGTCAACGTATATGTATGTAAGTTACCCAATCCTATTTGAGTTATCTTCCCCAATTATACTTACGTTTCCGAACAAGACGTCCATTCATTTCCACCACATTGCCTACATCCAATCTGCAAATTATTTGAGAACAAATATCTTGGTAGTATTGATACCACCGCACTGAAGAAACTTAACTGACACCAGTCAGAGCTCCAGCTGATATCACAGGTGTTCAGACAACTCAATGTAATACTAAAAACACAGTTTGTTGTAGAGTTAAGTGAGATCCTTTGAAAAATGATCCTGTTCTCATAGATACCTTCTTGTAGCAGGTAGCACAACGGAAGATAAAACCATCTCTTTTCTCACTGTTAGATACACAATCCATTGGAACACCATATTTACAATTAAGACTTCTCGTCAGCAATCCGACTCTCTGGAAGTAACCGACAAAGTAATCTTCGTTGTACTTCATCAAAGTTCATGGAGCGTCAACAACACTGTGGATGGAAGTAATGATTGACTTTTGTCTCAATATCCTCAACCCGGTTGATCATCCTCAAGGTTGGCCGTCACTAAAGTTTAATTGAACCCATAAACTTGTTTCACGAATTTATCACAACTTAACTTTAACTAGTTTTATCTATGTTCTACTGAAGAAGCCGTGGGATGCACGGCGAAACGTTCAGAAAAATCTTGTTTTCGATTTTCTAAACGCTCTGGGGTTATATTAAAACTTACTTTTATAGTTCTATGTTGTTATTTATTATTTTGGAAATGATATAACCTAGATATAGGGATTAGAAGAATACATTTTGTGTCTTATGGATTTTGATTTCCTTCTGCCTCCTATGGTGTAATTTTTCCAGTTAACAGTGAACACTCATAACTTCTGTAACAAATGTATCACACTTGTGAAAAGGATCATCATTTGCCTAGAGTTCTTTTCATAGTTCATATTCAACTAAAGAAGCTGTGAATTACATGGCGAAACACTTCTAAAAATTTCGCTTTGCAGTAACTGTAGTTTGCATATTAATAAACTCATAATTTATGAAAAAAACAACAAGGCAGTTGCAGCGAGCAAAAATGTTTCTTTCCGAAGAATTCATTTACTCAGCTGTACGCTCATGGATATATGTTACAGTGAGCAGAACATTGCAGAATTATTCCGAGTCAGGGAGCTAATCAGAGGAAATTACTTGATACTAATGAGGATTTAGAGTGGAAAAATAAACAAAGGATTATGAAAATAAAATGTATAATTGTGTAATACGGGATAAATCTGTGATACTCAAGGCCTTATAATGGCTATGGCAAAGACAAAGATTGAACGTATCCTTTTTGGACATATAACGCTGGTTTAAACTTATAAACGGCTAGTGTTTCAGCTATGTGCAAATGCCTTGATCTTACTCCATTCAAGTGGTTTGATCAAACCCTGTAGAGGATTTTGAATAAGTTCTCAAAAGGAGCTAAGTGACCTGAGTTCACAAGGTGTTCTGTTATTGAACTGAAGATTCATTTCGGTTCTCCTTTTGCCATCCAGGCTTGTTAGTGTTCACGACCACGTTTTATAAGCAGATGTATCGTATAGCCGATGTACTCAGCACCATAAGACCAAGTATACATGGACACACACACATTGATGTGTTTATTTGAAGTCTTACGTAAAATACTCTATTTATCTTTATGTACAGTTAGGAATTTTTTAAATTGACAACAGAACAATGTGTTATTTCATGCTTATGTAGTCGCCATCTCACTAAATTCAGTGCCTAGAATTCGTTGAAAGTTTTGTTAATTATCATAAATATCTTCGATGACTAACTGAATAGAATTATATTAAATGGGAAATCTTTTCAGAAATTCAATATTAGAAATCATACATGTGAAGTCTAGACTTCTTCCTGTAGCCATCAGTTTCTTTATACTTATGGATTTAGTGTAACTGTGGTGTCTTTATTGAAAAAGTTAGATGACCATATAGCCTGTTTTTTTTTCCATTGGTGTACAGAAGAGATCTAAATGTTACATTCAATATGTCTCGATAAGATATTCTTTAAGCTATATAATTGCTTTGCCAAATGAAGGGTAGTTTATCTGAGTTGTTGGAGCTTTATGCTAACACCCATAATGATAATGATAGATAGTGGCTAGCAGTGGAATCTAGGATGAACATTTCGTCCTGTTTGGGACTCGTTAGCTGAATGTACCTGCCCCCCCCCCCCCGTGAGTGTTGTTCCCACCGGGATTCGGACTCGAGAGTGACCGTTTCAAACGCCAGAGAGTTATCCATCGCACCACCGAACCATGTTACTTTGATCTCATAATGTAGCGTAAATTGGCTTCAATTTGATTGTATGCTGATTCTGAAGACTGTCACATTTCAGGATACTGGTTAACAATGGTATTACAGGCTCGATTCCTGTTTAATTTGATGGTTTAATCAATAAAAACAAACTACAATTCAGCAATCCTGTAAACAAAATAGATTACAGTTTTAGAATTCAAACAACTTTTATATATCAATGAAATCTATTCATAATCCTTTAAGTATCCAGACTATGAAGCTTAGTTTTAATCTACTGTCTAGAAATGGCTTACACTATTTTATTGGTGGTAAGCAGCAGGTATAGAAATTGAAATTCACTCAACAATCTTGTATACATTCTTGGAATAGGCAGTGAGACATACCTATTGTTTAAGGGGTAATTGATGCCATCTAGGTGGCCAACTAAACCTTCATGGGTGCATCTAGGTTTGGTTGTAATTCCAAGACCTTGATCAATGAGCCACAAATAGGTATAGAATAACTGCACACTAATAATAAATGATCATAGCAACAATTTTATATTAAAGCAAGTAAATGAATGAGCTAGCGAGCAAGTTATTTTAACAGTTTTTCATGTAAAAAAACCTTCCTTTGAAATACTTTATTTTCTTTCTATTCATTGGTTTTGTCAAACAACTAAGCGTACAAAATCAATAGGCCTGTATATCTAGAATGTGATTTTTACAACGTTATTCTGATTACTTTTGGATGGTAAGAGCCCAGTCGCAGTACAAAACTAACTTACAGACACCTAGTTATATATATATATATATATATATATATATATATATATATATATATATAATAGATAGGAAGCAATCTACTAACTAAGCAGCAAAAATAAAATGCAACTAACTACTAACGTGCTGACTAGTCAACTGACTGATAAACAAAACACTTTTGGCGAAATATATGACCTATATAATCTAATAAAGTTTACATGCAAAATATGAGAAATAAAAGTAGACAGAAAATAATTGAAATGAGACAATGCCGGTGAAGACAGTTAAAGTATCCAAATGTACACTAGACATATGGGATTAATGAAATAAAAATATCGTGAAAAAATTGTTGAAAATTTCACTTTTCTATGAGAAACAAACATGAAGGAGAGATAGAATAAAAGTAGTGTCGTGACGCTTCACTACTACTTGTGATATTCATGTAGACGGATATAAAAAAAACGATCATTCTGTTCGATGTAGTGCTTTTCAGATTTTCTGAAGTTTATTTTCTAGATAATGTTTGGTTTGTCTTCCTTTGCTATTGTTTCTTTTCACTTGTACAACAGAGAGTGAAGAGATTTTGTGAATTTATGAGATACAATGATTCCAGAAGGTTTCATTAATCTAGTTGTGATCTTGGAGACATTCGTCATGTTGATTTACGAGGCTAACTTCTTGGTTAACAATGAATTGTGCAAAGATCTTTTGGAGAAGTTGCATAGATAGCCATTCTTCTTGAAAACAGTCATCAAATAGTTTACTTCCTTTCTCCACAAGGTTAATGTACTACAGTGCGTCTTAGCCCTTTTGAGTAATGCTTTTAGACAACTGTTTTTCATTTTGTTTCTCTTAATATGGTGACAAACGTGTCATCTACATATCGGACCCAACGTTTCGGTTCGACCAATATCAATACCACAGTTTCCTGCAAATATTCTTGATATAGGCAATTCCATTGATGTTCCTTTTATCTGTTGAATGGAAAATATGTGTTGTAATGTATAAATTAATTAATTCCACCGATTTTGAACATTGCAATTGTTTGTGTTCCAAGAGGTGTGTATCACTGGTGAGAAGAAGTTTATGCTGATGATATTGTCTAGAATGACAATAAAAGCTTCACAATTAAACCATCCAGCTCAGAGAACATAACACAGTCCAAATAGGATAGAAGTGTTAAACCATTGTAAGTATTTAAGAGTATAAAGAGTTGTCTAATCCAGTCCTTAGTTTTTATCTGGACAAGTGATCAGCATAATGTATCTAGTAGCATAGTGTATAATATCACTGACCACTTTGAAACCTTATGTTAGTTGCAAAAATCAGCATATGCTACGAATTAACCAAGGAGTTGATTACTAGACTGTTTTATTTAGAAGCTGTAGGGTTTCTAACTGAAGTCCCTGTGATCAGATAGTGTATAGAGGTTTTGTGCACCATATCTCAGTACTTACAAGGGTAGTTTTTACTAGGTTGTATGACAAAAGCTTTTGTTATAAGGAGCAGATGAGAAACCGTGAATGAAAAGGATTCATGCTGTTCTGCTGAAACCATTGCTGTCGTTCTACTTATTTAAGGAAGTGATTATGTAGAAGCTCCATATTTTTTGACAATTAATCACTGAACTTACACCGAATAGCTTCATGGGTCATATGCTTTTTTCCCTAACCTGGCCATCATCATTTGTATTCAAGCTGTATTGAGTTTCCTTTGGGTCACTGGTTCAAGCACCGCTCTATCTATCAAGGTTTTTGCAGCCAGGTAGTATCGTTAGCACTCACTCTATAAGTGTGGCACATTGCCTACTGTACGGATGTGCACGAGGTGACAGTGCGTTTCGTTTCGTCCGAATTTCCTTTTTGTTTTAAAACTAGATGTATTTTCGTTGCATTGCTGTTTCATCCTTATTTTAAAATTGGACCTACTTGATGAGTTCCTGATGTAATATGGTGCTATTAAGAGTTGAGACAAGAGCCTAGATGTCTAATGGATCTCGATTTCACTTCAGTTACCGATGGTTTTCCTCAACTATCGTGTGAATGAGTGATAGACATGACTTTCTGTTGATTACCTCATCTAAGCTACCCCAATAAGCTTTTTTATTCTAATTTAAATCTATATGAGTTAGAGGAACTAAAGATACCTCAAACAGTATCACCAACATTTCCTAATTAGCCAGTCTTTGAAGTTCTTACTTGATTGAACCTGATTTCGCCTTTTGAGCCTATTGGAGTTAGTCTATTGATTCTGCGACAGTGTCATTTTTGTTGCATAGTTAGTTATATAGTAATTTTATTTATTACTACAATGGTTTGTTGTGACGTTCAGTTGTCTGTGATTTTCTTCTTCCATTACCATATCGTTAGAAATTTCTTAGTAGGGTACTTCAAAGTCATTTAAATCAAAGCTATGGTCATGTTAATCAAAACGTACTGTGAAGATGGTGGGTTTGAACTTTTTCCAACTTAAACGTACTTCGGCTAACATTGTTTGATGAGACGGACGATGGTTATGCATGCGTAACACATGTCCCAGCCATTTCAGTCGATGAAGGTTCACAACATCATCAACTGACTTTCATCTCCCACCTAAAACTCTATACCTGACTTCTGCATTACTCACGTGGTGACACAAAGACACATGGCCTATGCTACAAAGTCAACGGTGATCAAACACCAGAAACCTCATATCCTCTACCTTTGATAGTCGTGTTTTATAGATATGCAGTGAAACAGACCGAACTGCAACGCGGTACACTCAACTTTTAATAGACAATTGGATATCGCGACGGCGCCGCAGATCGCGTAAGTTGGCAAAAGGCGATCAAGCCCTTTATATCAGTACGTATTGTTACGTACTGTAAACTACAAGTACCTTGCTATGATTTGTGGGTTTGAAACCTTTCAGGGAATTTTGAGACTTGAAACATACAAGATTCCATCAATCAACACGTTTAAACTTGCTGATCTGTTAGCTATTAACTGGCTGTCTTATGATTGATAAGAATTTATGAACTTCTATTTGTATTCATAAAGTTAGCAACTATGAATTAAGCTATATAATGATACATATACAAACATGTAGCATCTGTAACTGGTTCTCTTCATACCTGTAATATATAGAAAAGAGAATTTCTCGAAATATCTGACCAAGCGAAATGTCATTATATCTAAATATTAGTGAGATAAGAAGGTAGAGAATAAAAACACTTTGAACATCTATAAGAAATAGGTGGAAACTGATTACATTTTAAGACAAACTCGATGATGTTAATCATATCACCCAAAGTTTACAACTAGCATTGTTTGCTGTCCTGGAAACTCTCAACATGTTAGTATAAATCTTTACTAGTGACTTTATGTAGAGATAGTGAATCAGTACTAAGTATTGACTTGATCTCCGTACAGTTTCATATACATCATCTCTACTTTAGTCATTACAATTCAATCGAGATAAATAAAAGGCAGAAATTCACAAACTATCAAAATTGTTTCAGTCAATGTAGGTAATCAGTCTTATGGCTGTTACAGTAGCGTCAATCGAATAAACACTATGTTGTTCAACTAATCAGCTTGCTAACCTTATCGGTTTAAATTTTTATTGGGATGGTTAATACACTTTCCTAGAGAAACTATCATTTGAACTGATAGAGTTTCACTTATTAGCTGTATATCATAACTTTGTTAAACTTTAATTGGACTACTCAATTAAATAGCGATAGGAACAAAGAGTACACATTCACTATCTGCATGAAAGTGAAATTCTACAAGTTAGTTTATTAAACAAATAGATACACTCAGATAGCTAATGGTTATTACAAAAGATAGCAAAATTCTTAGCCAAGTAATGCGTACAAATCTATTTAGCGTAAATTCCCAACTTGTCACCTAACAACATCTAATGTTTTGTCATCAACTTAAACATAATTAGTTCATCTCTTCAGTTTTGTTCACTTATTTATTTGTCTGTATATTTAATTTTATATCTCTTGTTAGGATCCTAAAGCCAGTACAGATATTAACGGTCGTGATAATGATCCAATGCCGAACGTACGAAATCGTGATAACAAGTAATTTTTCCATTTTGTATGTTTTGTTTTAAAAGTAGTAGATTAGTTAATCTTTTTCTTTTTTCAATTGTGGAGGTTTGACATCAATTAAAAAAAAGAATTAGTAACTTGAGAGCACTAGATAGGTGTATTTATCATAGCTGTATGTATCCATAACCCTGCAAAGGATCGAACCTAGGACCTTTCAGGTTTTGTGGCGAACATGTTACTATTGAACCTTCGATTCAGAATCAAATGGTCCAAATTTTTCTACTTCAGTCAATTCATCATAGATTCTTTAACTTTTTTTTTTACGCCAATTTATCAGAAAAGAATAAATAGTAAAAGAAAGAAAGAAAACTAAGCACATTGTATCCCAGATATTGAGAAATAACTGTTAAATGTAACTGGTAGTATAATAATAATAATCGATTATGCAAGGTGGAGAAAACGTACTTTTATTGTATTGAATAAATTGTGATCATTTTTAAGAAGCTGAAGGAAAAGAGAGAGTGAGAGATAACTGTATTTTAAATTTACTTATTAACACAATTAATAAACAAGTGATATGCCTTTTTAGAGCTATAGCTTAGTGGTTTACAGAAATGAGTTACGGCTTTGAATCTCGTTCCATCTGACGAGGTTTGAGCATCTAAGTAGTATTATTAGTCCTCATATAATAGGTGTTAGTTATTACCTACTGCACGAATGTGCACAAAGTTGCTGAGTGTTTTATTCGTCCATTCGTTCAGCATATCTTTCTAGGGTATTCAGCTCAGAGTTGAATCTACCTCTTTAAATTGTGTTGATTATTTCCTGTATGGTAGGTAGACCTTGGACAAGAATGATACTTTTTCAGACACCTTGTTTGCTGAAAGGTGATATTTTATTGGCTAGGGAGAAATTTATTTTTAACTAGAAAGTCATGGGTTTGAACTGGCTTCGCCTGCTTTCAAACAGTAGTGAAATGCACTACCTATTAGTTAACCAATAGATGTAACTTGTAGTCTAGTGTAAAACACTGTAGATATTTATTGAGTTGCATTCCTAATATGAATTCTACCTTTTTTTCTCTCGCTAACTTAATACTTGCTAATTTTAAAAATGTGTTAAAAGAAAAAAAAAGTGGAAAGTGAAGTTGTAAAGGTGCAGACCACGAATCAATAATCACATCATTGGTCAGTCAATCAATATCAACGTTGGACCTGGCATAAATGCCTAAAATTCCCAAATACACCATCTTAGATCGGCACATTCAGATGAAAGATAGAGAAGTAAGGCAGTCAAAATTCGTAGAAAGTCATAACAAGAGAGGAAGAGAAAGTAAAACAAACAATGCAGTATGCCACGTCGATTAGAGTGAACATAATGTATAGAGACATCTGTCTAACTATGACTGACTGTTAACCATAGCACATGTATTCATCTTGGTGACTCTCAGCAGAATCGAGGATGCACGTTTCGTCCTTTTTGGGACTTACTGGTTGTCTGGATATACCTGCACCCCAGTGAGTAATATTTGTTTCTACTAGGGCTCGAACCTAGTACCCATTGCTTAAAAACAAAAGTGTTATCCACAAGTATCAGACAACAACAAATGATACCCGTTGCACAACTGGTAGGTCCCGTGCTCTAGTGACTTAGTGGATAACGCTTTGGCGTTTGGAGCAATGCGTACCGGGTTTGAGTCCCAGAGGGAACAACATCTTTCACTGGGATGGAAGTGCATCCAGCTGATCAGTGAGTCCCAAGTAGGACGAGACGCGTATCACACTGTATTCTACTGAGAGTCACTAGGAGGAATACAACCTCATGAATATCCGGGAGTAGCGAGGCCTCCGCATAGGAACCCATCTATCAACATAGGTCGGGCAATTCGACCCTGTATAGCAACGGAAGATTACAAGTATCAAACAACATGCCACTCACCGTTTCCAACACCTTATTTCAGTTGTTGTATGAACTTTTCAGCCAGAAGGTTTGCATCCCCCTACATACATCAGACCAACGATCAGAGACGTCATAATATATGACACCACATTTTAGTCTGGTTACCTTTAACCTTTTTCTAGTCTAAACCCACTTCAGCTAACATTACGTGACAGAGTATTTCTCGCTATACTTTCATTTGTTTTGTGTATGTTGTGCTTTCCACGTATACGTCCACTAACTGATAACTCAATTAACTAACAAGATGCAAAGAGTCACCTACACGGCATAGTGCACAAACACACAATAGATAACATGCACACTCGTATTGTGAAAAAGGAGAAAAACTATTTTATGGCTTTAGATTATAAATTGCCGGTCCTTGTTTCTATTTTATTCTCCTGAGTTATTCTACACTCTCTATGGGGGGTTGTTTGTTATTGACTCAGAAAACATAAAATTTTGTCGTTGTGTGTCTTTGTGCATCATCTTTCTGTCTGTCTGTCTATCTGCGCATCTACCTAACTGAATGCAAGTTAGTGTCTATTGTTTTTTTACTGTATGGAGATCGTTTGATAACCATGCCTTTTTAACTGTGTGCTGAAAAATCGATGTTAAGACATTTTGGCTTCATGTTTTCATCATACATATAATTCGTTGTTTCAAGTTGCCATAATGAGACTGAAGCAGAAAGTAGACCAAGAAAAATAAAAGGAGTGGTTCATGGAAGAAGAAAGTGAAATATTCAGGTGTGTATATGTGTGTATGTAAGGGGGGGGGGGGGAGGTGAAGCCAACTTATCAGAATGGAAATTTTAATTTTAACAGCCAGATGAGAAGTGACTATATCTGAGCTTTATCATACAGGATTGTTAAACGACGAACTTTTTCTTCCAACTAGTGGAACTCTAGCCAGAATATCGGAATACTCTTGTGTATGCCTTAACCAAATGGTCAGTGAATTGTTTTCTGGTCGTTATGATTGTCTAGTCTACCTTAGGTTTCCTTTTCATTGGAGTACACTAACCAACTTATTCAGTGTTTGCTTGGTCAAGCATGTATTCTCATATGAGATAGTTGGTTGCTGTGATTATCTAGTATTTAGTTGCCTTTAGTTTATCTACTTCTCTCACACAGAACCTTATTGTTATGAAGTTAATAATGGTAAGTGTAATAAATTGGAGAAACATCTATTTCAAGAACCAGTTTTTTATGCGTCTGTTACATTTTTACAGTCGTCATTAGTTCATGTATCTCTAGGACCGAAATCCGAAACCCTACGTACGAATCACGAAACTTGATTGTCAAAATATTCAGTTGGGATGCGAAAAACAATTGGTTCAGTTAGTAATCAAAAGTTATCTCAACTATTTGGAGCTACTCTTAACTATCTTAATGTCTTTTATTCCTGAAAAACCTTGAAATAAACGGTATATAAGCAGATCTTCATGAGGGGAATTCAGGGTATTGATTAAAACACTTTGTAAAACAATGCGGTTAACCTATTTCACCATAGTCGGTTAAAACCGACCAGCGTGAATATTCCTAGTTTCTAAATGGCAGAAGATATTTAGTCTAGGAAGTCTCTTTTTCAACCTTTTCAATGATAAAAGCGATTTTCTGGTTAGAAAACTCATTGTCAGATTGAGTCTTTCTTGACTTGGGAATGAATTTATCATTTCAATTTGGGGGTTTGTAGGGATTCATTGAGTTCAAGGTGGTACTCATCATGGACTGGGAACCTAGGATCACTGGACAGCTGTTTCGTCCTAGTATAGGACTCTCCGTCAGGGACCGAACCCGGAACCTTCAGGTTCCGTGGCCAGCATGTTACTAATGAGTCACTGGGTTGGAATCCAATGGTGGGGCCATGGGCATGCACTGCTGAGGAGTCCCATACTAGGATGAAATAACTTTCCAGTGTTCTGAGATTCCCAATGTTCCTCCAACTGATGTCAGTCCATGATGAATACTACCTTGGAATTTATTATTGTTTCTGTCTTCGTAGACAGTTTACACAACTCTTTATATTGTTGCTTGTGTTATGCCATCGTTGATTGGACCGAATTGACCGGTTACTGTTGGCATATGGACTCCCATGCGGACTCCTCGGCATTACCTGTCGTTCCGATTTTATGATAATAATGGATAGGAGCTAGCAGTGGGACAATATTGCTTACTGGAAGGGAGGTACATCCAGCTGACGAGTCCAAAATAAGACGAAACGCGCACCCTCCATTCCCCTGCTAGCCACTATCCATCATTACTATAAATTTACACAACTTATTAATGAGACGATAAAACTGTTATCTTTCACATTCAAAGTAGTACTCTTCCCAGCAGTATTTTGTAATCTCATATGGTAACTATGAAAAGTTCGCAAACCTGCAAGGAGCTGACTAGATTTCACTCAGTTCCTGAATGGATCGATTATATCTTTGCTTTCCACTAGATGATTGAATTCAGCATGCTGCTTTGTAGATCATGTCTGTGGTGCGACTGAAGCATTTACAAGAATATGCAAATACCAGATATCCACCATACATCTGTATACTGTGTTATTGTAGTCTTCATATCATATTTCTCTTGGATAAGGGTGTTTAACGGCTCTATGTGTTCTTTTGGTTCGTCCTCCTCCTCATCTTTCTCAGTCGATAAAAACTGTACATATGTAGTTTGGAAATACGAGGGCGTATTCTTTAGTATGGCGAGGGTCATCAGAGAGGTAGTTAGGATGGTAGATCGATCAATTCAGCGAGCAGTTCAGTTGGCCTTCCGTTACTCTTCACTTACCATCCAATCAAAGCTTTGATTACGAAATCGGTATCGAATCGATAACGTCTATCAAAGTTAGTAGGTAACATGATAATAAAGGAGGTAGCAAATGTTGAACGGCTAGTACCAGAGATATTTCATGGGAGTGGCTCAAGAATATTGGTTGGACTGACTGAGAATTAACTTATCAAACATGATCCCACCTAACTAGTTCTCTTATCACTTGACATTTAACTAGAGCTTGGAAATACCAAAGTCATGCAGTTTTTAGTGCTTATCGTGGATATATTAGTTAGGTTTTCACTCCCTATGAGGCCTTAGAGCGTAAGGATACTTGCTGATACCTTTTACTAACCATATTTCTAACTTCAGGGTGATATTTGATCCCATCGATTACGAGGTTTTATCACAGTATCTAGCGAGCATGTTGCTCTTCTGCTAGTTTTATACATGGAAACTCGTAATTGTTTCATAGATTACGGTAAGCTATTTAGTAGAACTTCAACAGTGGATAGTATCCATCAAGGTTTTCTATTTTTGACTATATCATGGATGTACTTAGTAAGGTATTCGTGTCTTACTCTAGGTGGTACAGTTCATAGTCGACACCATTGAAGCATTAATATAGGTGTAAAACTTGGGCACTGTGGCAGAATTCAATTCCATATTATATTTGTTTATTTGATTTATAATACACAGTGATCTAGTATTATTTACTTGATGACATTTCGAGCATAAATTATTGCTCATAATCATATCAGTGTAATCACACTACTTTCGACATCTAAGTTTTATAGTTATGCCACTTTATATGAGTTGTTTTTTATTGGTAGCACAATTTTCCATATCTCTGGTATAGGTGTTGCATCATTTCTATTACATGTATCGTGTATTGACTCAATGAACAAAGATTCAGTAATCAATCTCTCTGTCCACCTAATTATTATCGGACTGACTTAAATACAGTGGCTTTATCCCACCCTATTGTGTGGTCGTGTGTTAATGTATGCATAGCGCTAGCTGAGTTTTTTTTCTAGATTATTGATCTTATTTAAGTCTGTTATTCTATATTTAGATAAATTCCTATGTTTGGCTATTCTAACTGACTCCGATCGACTAGTTTGACCTATGTACATATTTACATATTTACACCGAGTTTCATGTCGATCATATCTACATGCCAGTGAAGATCTAGACATAACTGAAGAAGTGATTTATTTAATTATGAATTCAACTGTTGGGTTATTGTAATATATAACATCCAAGAGGCTTGTAGGTCAAGTATTGTTTGTCTCTACCGAACTGGTTACAAAAAAAGCATAGACAGTGAATGTGTGATATGGCAACGAAGAATAACTGATAGTTGCATAACTTAGTTTTAGAATATTTTCACTAAGTTGTACTATTCTTTCCTGTTTAAAATCTATATTTTGTATCATATAATTTTTAGGCATGGTACTCGATGCGCTGGACAAATCGCTGCTCAGGGTAATAATTCAGTATGCGTTGTTGGAATCGCCTATAATGCACAAATTGGTGGTAAGTACACATAAGCATCAATTCCTAATAAGTTTTTGTTATTCACTATTACTATTAAGGTTTGACAGTTAAAATTGATTACTTATCAAGTGAAATGATAGAAGAGGTTTTTCATCACCAACTGCGTGCTATTAAATTTCTTTTTTTAATATATATATGTACTCTTGTCAAAGTACTTTTGATCAATTGATTGTCTGTCAGTGATGTGGACTTTTATTTCAAGTTGTTATTCATCGCAGACTGACATCAGTTGGAAGAACAAAGGAAACCTGGGAGCACTGGACGGCTGTTTCGTCCTAATATGGGACTCCTCAGCGGTGCGCACCCACGACCGCGCCAGGGATCGAACCCGTGACCTTCAGGTTCCGTGGCCAGCGCGTTACCATTGAGCCATTGGGCCACTAGTTTTATAATGAATAACAACTTGAAATATTTCCAAATCTCCACAACTCCCTCAAAATTTGATGCACTTTTAATTTCAGAAAATTATGAGCTTTTCTCAACCAATCAAAAATAGTTGATAAACTTTCTTATCAGTATCAAAATTTCAACGCTCCTACCTTGATAAGTTTAGTTAACCAGTAAATGATTCCAAGGAGCAATTCCTCCTTGATCTTCAGTGAAAGTCGGTAGTATACTACCACAACTTTGATCGGGCTAATGTTAAGAACTCCTACAACGAACGAACTGGAATATTGTGCAAAAATTTTTAGAGGCCGATCTATCCTTTCGAATTTGGAACCAACGAATACTATTTATGTATAACAATTATGGATAGTGGCTAGCAGCGGAATCTAGGATGCACGTTTTATCCTATTTGTGATTCGTCAGCTGGATATACCTATCTCCCAGTGAGCGATATTGTTCCAACTACAACTCGAACTCGGGACCGATCGCTCCAAACGTTAGAGCGTTATCCACCAGACCATGGAGTCACTGTAGCGACTTCAAACACAGGCACTTTCGAGGCATCCACACAGAAGCCAATATGCCGATAGAGACCAATCAATTCGGTCCAGTCAGCGACGGGATAATACAAGCAACAACATTGAATACAATCCATTCTGAGGTTTATGAGGATTTTATGTTTAAGATTGTATTCATCACTGACTGACATCAGTTGGAGAACCATTGGAAACCTGGAGGCACTGGATATCTGTTTCATCCTAGTATGGGACTGCTCAGAAGTACGTCTTATTTGATGGTCACCTTATGTGGTGAATTGACAGAAGTAGAAAACTGTGGAGCATTCAATTCTAACCTTGTGGCTAAATGGTTAATGCATTCACTGTGAAACCTGAAGGTTCTAAGTTTGATCTCTGGTGGGGTCATGACTGCTAGGACGAAGCAAGTGTCCAGTACTCCCAAATTTCAGTGTTTTTCCCATTGATATCATTCCGTGGTTAATACAACTTTAAGAAAATAATTTAGTTAAAAAGTGGAAAGATCTCCATCTCTTAATTAGTTAAAAATTATTTCAGCAAGTTAATCATGAAATGTCATTGACTCTGATCACAAAATCACATCAATAGTAGTTTAACACTAGTCAATAGTGAAATAAAAATTTGATCAACAGTCAAACCTTGTAGCTCAGTTGGTAGAGCATCAGACCCAAAACTCTGTGGTCTCTGGTTCGAATCCGATCGTGGCCCAAATTTTGATTTCACCTTCAATCATCACCCAGTATAAATACTAGTCTTCCAAATTACGGCTATCTCAGATAGTCAAATGATAACTAGTCAGTAGAATTGGCGGTTAGGAATGTCACTAATAGACATATTCAAGGTTTCATACCTCTGAAATTTGACAAAAATACTTGTGATGAAATGTATTCAGTCAAATTTAAGTAATCAATAGATATCATACACTATTCGTCTCTTAAATTACAGATCATTTTCGAACTTCTCAGGATCATAAATGTTTGGTGATAATGTTGCAGTTTCCAGCATATATTTGTTAGGATGCTTACCTTTTGTCAGGAAGTCATTTTCCTTCTTCTATTTACACTACATATACTTCAACTTTTCATGAATGAGTTTATCGAAATAATACTTTACTCTACTTATTTGCTAGTAATGTATTCTTTAAGGTAGATAGTTTAATTGTGAAGCTTTTGTTGTCATTATAGACAATGTCATCAAATTATTAGAGGTCAAATGTGCACTACCCTACCAGAAATAGCATCAAATTAGACAAAGGTTAAATGTGAGTGGACCAAAAAGTAACACTGATTTGGTCTATCTCACGTGAAGAAATGTATATTGCATATCTTTTGCCTTAGAAGTGTTGAAAATCAGTGGATAGAAAAGCATTTGCACATTTAGTGATTAAGGTCGATTCAACTAAGATGAAGATCTGTAGTTTGTGTCAAGTTTTCCAAGAATAGTTATATAATGTATTTTGGTACGCTTTGGGTTGCATTACCATCTGCTATGATGTTTTCTCTTAATTTGATTGTGTTTCATTAGGTTTAGGGAGATGATTTTCAGTCAATGGGTTATGGTGTCGAATAGCTGTCCATCTACCAAGGCAACTGGATAATACCATTAATCCTCATATACCACATATGGCTCATTGTCTACTGCAACAAGGTTCATTAGGTTGCTGATTGCATTTCGATTGTTGAAAGTATTATAAAACTGCAAAAGAGTACACACTAGGACTTTAGAATTTATTGATATGATTAAAACAAGTTAAATAGGAGTAGTTGGATATAATAAATACGGTGGAAAATGTTTAGTCACCTAATATTCAAGCAAGTCTATATAGCATCTCACTGCTCTAATTTATTCTTTTCTGTTATTTTGTGAGGTATGGTCACGAGGTTCTGCCTGGCCTCTATATGACTAATTATTCTCTAAACCTTTTAACACTATCATAAAACAAACAGACCATAATTATTACTAATGTTGCGTTTAATTTAATCATTATAAAGGTATATTTTAATGTAATCCCATCGTGTATAGAAAATCAGAACGAGGTTTTTCTGTAACTCTGTGTTAAAAAAATGTGTCGAGAATTCAATGAAGACTTATTGGTATTAAAACCAATTTGAGGTAGTTTTTTCCTCAACTTTGAATTCGAAATTCATTAGGTCGGGAACCCACCATCATCCCTTTTCTCTTTTTCTCTCTCTTTGTTTTAGACTTATACTAACATGAATATGAAACTGTTTTTTTTTTTCACTTGAGTCAATTGGTTTGACCCTTAAAAACAAAATTGTACTGATCCGCTTTTCTTTTTTATGATGTGTTTACTTATTTATGACAAATTGGACTACTATTTATTACTATAGTTTTGACATTAATACTACTACTACTACTACTACTACTACTACTACTACTACTAATAATAATAATAATAATAATAATCTCCCCCTAGTAATATGTGATTTTACGGTGATTATATAGAATTGCATATTTTTGGTTCAAAGTAGTGCAGTAGCTAAATTATATAGGTGAGACTAATTGAGTATAACGGTTCGTTGAAACGATAGCGATCAAACGAATAAAAATTGAAAATATTGACTGAACAGTTTATCTGAGATAGCAGGAATGTTTCAGTTGGTTTACATTTTGTTGTATCATTCACACTACCTACTACAAAATCTTGCAGATACTTGTTTTTAATGCCAGTGAATATATGTATATATAAATATGTAATTATTATTTGTCCCTTGGGTTCCTAGTGGAGCATAGGGCTTCAGTAGCACATCTCCATTGTACTCTCTTCTCTGGCTCCACGACAGCCCAGAAGCTCTCATTTCTTCCTCACACGATCTCCTCCATATCACCTTCGCCTCGGACGCCCAACTTGTCATTTCCCGTTTGGCTTCCACTCGACGGCCTGACCTGGCACCTGACGTCCCCAAATGGTCTTCTCAGTGTATGCCCGATCGATCTCCACTTCCTTCTGGATATTTGTTGGGCGATAGGTTGTTGGTTGGTTCGTAGCCAGGCCAGAGTGAATTCTTTATTGTTCATTCTTTCTGGCCATCTATCTGATCTTCAGTATCGAGTGAGCGTAAGCGGCAGCTGTTGGTGAATGTCTGCACTTTGTTAAAAATGCTTTTCGTAACGCGCCGCCAAGTTTCTGAACCATATAGAAGCGCTGACTTGATATTGGTGTTGAAAATCCGGATCTTGTCCACCCTTTGTGCTGAGTGCAGAAGATCTCCACACTGATTTCAGATTAATGAAAGCCTGTATTGATGTCTTTCCCATCCTGGTTTTGACATCCTCATCTGTGCCGCCGTCTGTGGTTGAAACGATGCTGTTTTGCCTGGGTAGGTGAAAGAGGCTACTTTCTTTAGATTTCTCCCGTTAATGGTGATTGGAGCTTATTGTTGTCGTTAGTGTTGGTTGGGTATCATCATCACCTCTGTTTTCTCTACGTTCTTTTGAAGTCCCTTCTTTATAATTATGGACATGAATTCAATTTCGACAATGTAGAAATTTTTGACAGAGGAAACACAAAGAATATCAGAGAATTTCTAGAAGCTTGTCATTCAGGTCAATCAGCCATCAGTAGATGCATAGACGTAGACCCAGTCTGTCAACCTGTGAGAGAAATGGTAAACGACAGAAAGGTCAGAGATGAAGCAGAGGAGCAGCAAGCAGGAAAATCTATAGAGCTAATGACAAAACAATCAAAGGAAACAACCAATCACAAACCAGTTGGTCAGGGCAAGCTACTAAGTCACTGACGGAGAGATACTGACAGCTGACTTCATACTGTAGTTAATGTTGATGATATCGTTTAGCAAGAAGATGAAAGCTTCACGATTAAACAACCCAGCTTATAGAAAACAATACAACCAAGACCATACACCTGAGCTACAAATATCCTCACCATTTCGAAATCCCTTTTGTTAGGAGTATTATCAAAATAACACCTTACATTATTGTATAACGATTCAAGTTTCCACATCTCACTCACATCAGCACGTATAGACAAGAGGCAGCAATATGAAAGATGAAGAAGTAAAAAAAAAATAGTGA